CCAATAAGGGGTCCAGGACGGACCAATATGGCGTCCAAGACGGGCCGATATGGGGTCCAGGACGGGCCGATATGGGGTCCAGGACGGACCAATAAGGGGTCCAGGACGGGCCGATACGGGGTCCAGGACGGACCAATATGGCGTCCAAGACGGACCAATATGGCGTCCAAGACGGACCAATATGGCGTCCAAGACGGACCAATATGGCGTCCAAGACGGACCAATATGGCGTCCAAGACGGACCAATATGGCGTCCAAGACGGACCAATATGGCGTCCAGGACGGGCCGATATGGGGTCCAGGACGGACCAATATGGCGTCCAAGACGGACCGATACGGGTCCAGGACGGGCCGATATGGGGTCCAGGACGGACCGATACGGGTCCAGGACGGAGCGATACGGGTCCAGGACGGACAGAAACATCGCCACCTCTACTCCCCCCCGTGTTAGTTTACCTGTTCCACCGCCGCCATGATGACTGTCTACACACTCCGCCAACAAGAAGTATGCGTGAAAAAAGATGAAATAAAAATGGATCACCGCATTTGAGCTCGCTAGAGAAAAGGAGAATATATTTACCAGATCACTTCAGTCACGTTCCTTCCCCTGGGAGATGTTCCCAGACCTCTTCCCTCCCTCCTTACTCTCCCCTCTATCTCTCTCCCTCACTCTCTCCCTCACTCTCTCCCTCACCCTCTCTCTCCCTCTCTGGTAGCCGAGTTTTGCCGCAGAAGGAACTATGGGACGTCATTATATTTGTGGTTTTTGCTTGCTGAGTTAGTTCCGGCGCAGTGTGTTGGGCAATGGTGATGTTGCTGGTTGGTCCCGAGTGAGAGAGTGAGAGAGTGAGAGAGAGAGAGAGAGAGAGAGAGAGAGAGAGAGAGAGAGAGAGAGAGAGAGAGAGAGAGAGAGAGAAACAGAGAGCGAGAGATATGGAATCAGTGAGGTACGGAAAAGGTCTACTGGGAAGAAAGAGATAAAAGATATATTAAATAAACATCAACCAACCCTTGCAAGAGAGAGAGAGACAGAGACTTCATACAACAATACATCTCTCACATCTCCCCCCTTCCCACCCCCTCCCCCCCCCCCTCTGACACCCCCCTACAACAGATGACACCATCAGAAACCCCTACACCCGGGTCGTGCTTCAGTGGTACCTGGCTACACTGAGCGGCTGCTGCTCCAGACGCCTCACCTCTCACACTGACACGGGGCGGTGCTAGCCAGGCTCATGCTAGAGTAATGTGGTCACCAGGTACACTGATGGAAAGGTGATAGGAGGGAGAAAGGGATAGGAATGGAAGGGAGTGATGGGAAAGATGACTTTATTTACAGTTGATTCTTGAAAAATATCTTACGACACTGCTAGTGTTGACGAACCTAAGGCTCTCTGTTCCCAGCTAGCGTAGGGGCTATCTGGGGCTAGGTGACTATCCTAGCCTAGCCTGGTGGCCACCTGGAGGCCACCTGGGGCTAGGTGACTATCCCCACTTAGTCTGGAGGCTACCTGGGGCCAGGTGACTATCCCCACCTAGTCTGGGGGCTACCTGGGGCCAGGTGACTATCCCCACCTAGCCTGGTGGCCACCTGGAGGCCACCTGGGGCCAGGTGACTATCCCCACCTAGTCTGGGGGCTACCTGGGGCCAGGTGACTATCCCCACCTAGCCTAGTGGCCACCTGGAGGCCACCTGGGGCCAGGTGACTATCCCCACCTAGTCTGGGGGCTACCTGGGGCCAGGTGACTATCCCCACCTAGTCTGGGGGCTACCTGGGAGGTCCCCACGGGATCATCCAGGACCGGCGTGTCCACCCAAAATCAGAAATAAAGCTGTACCAGGAGGCGGGGCTAGAGAGCTAGATCTCAGCCCTCCCCCCCCACCTATCCTCCCTTGACACAAGTAGGTAACCCCCCCCCACGAGGGCAATATTTTCACAGTGTTAATGCAGTAAATCAGGACAAATCTTGAGCCAATAAAAATTCATGAAGATAGGAAGGGGGTGCGTCTCGGGCGTGTAGACCACTCCACCACCACACACACACAAGGTCCTGGAGGCTGGCATCGTTGGGTTTACAGTTGAGTATATCATTTGAGTATACCATTTTGAGTGTACCAACCCAGTACAGTTAGCAACCCAACCCAGTTAGCAATAAAATAGGTACCTGGGTGTTAGTCAGCTGTCACGGGCTGCTTCCTGGGGGTGGAGGCCTGGTCGAGGACCGGGCCGCGGGGACACTAAAGCCCCGAAATCATCTCAAGATAACCTATAATATAGAAAGTTACACACAAAAATCACAATAGCGTGATGCATCAAATGAACAAACCCACAGTGGAACATCTGGTTACAATTCTTTTGACTATGTCGTAGCTCAGCCGATCAAAGCAGCGCCTTGGGATGCTCTCGGACGCAGGTTCGAATCCCCGTCACGGCCCCTTGTGGATTTGTTCGTTTAATATGATAAGTGTTCACAGGCAGAGCAAACACAGAACAAATGTTGTTCACTTGTTCACATATCAGCAATTCATTAACTTTTTTGTATAATTGTTTTAACTTTTGTTTTTGTTTTTAGTGACTTGTGAGTTTGTTGTGTTTGTTTGTGTCTTTGTTTGTGTCTTTGTTTGTGTCTTTGTTTTACTCTTGATTGGTTTTGTATAGAACGTTTGTCTGGTTCCGTTACTGATTGTATTACTGTTGTATAAACGGTATGTGGTACTGTATTACTGTTGTTGTATTAACGGTAGACGCTGTTAACACTGTTGTCGCTATTATATCAATATATTATATTATATATATATATATATATATATATATATATATATATATATATATATATATATATATATATATATATATATAATGATTGGGTACTGTATTTCTTCCCTCCCCCTTTATATCCCAGCACCTTGTTCTTATATCCCAGCTCCTTGTTCTTATATCCCAGCTCCTTGTCCTTATATCCCAGCACCTTGTTCTTATATCCCAGCTCCTTGTTCTTATATCCCAGCTCCTTGTCCTTATATCCCAGCACCTTGTTCTTATATCCCAGCTCCTTGTTCTTATATCCCAGCTCCTTGTCCTTATATCCCAACTCCTTGTCCTTATATCCCAGCTCCTTGTTCTTATATCCCAGCTCCTTGTTCTTATATCCCAACTCCTTGTCCTTATATCCCAGCACCTTGTTCTTATATCCCAGCTCCTTGTTCTTATATCCCAGCTCCTTGTCCTTATATCCCAACTCCTTGTCCTTATATCCCAACTCCTTGTCCTTATATCCCAGCTCCTTGTTCTTATATCCCAGCTCCTTGTTCTTATATCCCGGCTCCTTGTTCTTATATCCCGGCTCCTTGTTCTCATATCCCAGCTCCTTGTCCTTATATCCCAACTCCTTGTCCTTATATCCCAGCTCCTTGTTCTCATATCCCAGCTCCTTGTTCTTATATCCCAGCTCCTTGTTCTCATATCCCAGCTCCTTGTTCTTATATCCCAGCTCCTTGTCATCCATAGACAGGTTTCTAGCACTACCTTTGTCCGGTTCTTCTATGGTTCTCTGAGTGGTTGTAAATCACCCAATTGCTATAGTTCTACAGGATGATTCCCATGAAATATTGCTTGTCGTCGCTTCCACGAAAGAGATTTCATAAAAAAATTAAGTTAATTTTACACGTGAAAGCCGGTCCCAAATGTTCTTTCTCTTCACATTACCTGATATTCCCTGAGGAATATTGCGATCTTTCACGTTAGTTCAGTCTTCACCATTGCTATTACATCACGGTGCCATTCTGCGGCCATTGTTAAGTTCGGAAGCTTTATTTGCAAGTCCATCAGCATTCGTGTAGTAGATTCATTATTTTGTCCACTTATCGGTCAATTCGCAGCCAAAGGGTGTGATTGAGGACAGGTTTGTTGAGAGATTGAACAGGACTCAACTCTACTCACTCAACTCACGTCGGAGTAGAGTGAGTAGATGATATAATAGGGTGATCTGAGTGGAAAAGTAGAAGGTAGAGCATGAGTGACAGTTGATGGATTGGGAAGGGAAATTGATGTACTCACCTAGTTGTACTCACCTAGTTGTGCTTGCGGGAGGTTGAGCTTTGGCTCTTTGGTCCCGCCTCTCAACCAGTCCCAGTCACCCTCTCAACCAAATGATGTTGGATGTCTGCCAGGGTTGATTTTGGTCATGTAGATGAGATTAGTGACAGTTCTGGGTACTGATTGAGTCTGTCTGTCTTAATATTGTCTTCGCGTGGTTCCTTAAGTCCCCGGATGGTTCTCTACCAGTCACTGATAACGATGGTTCTCCAGCAATGAGAAGAGAAGAAGAGATGAAGATGTTGAAAAAGTGTTGGGAAGGCTGGATAAGAAAGATAGAGATAGAAGAGGGTGAAAGGTCGGGAAAAGAGAGGGTCCAGTAAGATGGAGAGGTGAGAGGATAGTGGTGAGGGGGGCAAGGTGTGGGAGAGGGAGGGGGAGAGAGAGGGGGGGGAGAGGGAAGAGAGTGGTGTGGACACCTCCTTATCTCACATGTGCACCTGGGTGGAATACTGGCCTTGAGAGGAGGATGGTGGTAGTGGTGGTGGATAGGAGGTAGAGAAGTGGTTGTTGTGGTGGGGGTAGGATAGGAGGTAGAGAGGTGGTTGTTGTGGTGGGGGTAGGATAGGAGGTAGAGAGGTGGTTGTTGTGGTGGGGTAGGATAGCAGGTAGACAGATGGTGGAGATGGTATAGGTCATAGAGATGATAATAATGATATTATAATAACACTGTGTACTGGAGGTAGGGGGGGACTGGGTAACAGGGGGGGGGGGAGGAGGAGAGGCAAGGAACCCAATCAAAACAAAAAACAGCTGATTTACCAAAACAAATCGTGGCCAGTACCAGCCTTCGCGCGCAAACCAACATACAAAAGTTAACTGATTATCAACCTCAATTCCACCACACACAATGTTCCTTTTTAACATGTTAATATCCCTCCTTTTTTATCTTCCACTCCCCAGGATGGGCGATGGGTCAACCGGACTTCGCTGCTCCGCTGAACAACGTCTCAGTGCCTGTGGGGAGAGACGCTACCTTCTCCTGTATGGTTAATGATCTTGGAGGATACAGAGTAAGTAATTCTCTCTCTCTCTCTCTCTCTCTCTTACACCTTCTTCTCTCTCTCTCTCTCTCTCTCTTCTCTCCTTCTCTCTTCTTGGTTCTCTGTCCTTGTGTTGTGCCGCTCTCAGGATAAAATCCTTCATCCTGTAATCCAGTGTAGTGTTATAATGTATAGCCAGTCAAGTGATCCTATGTAAACAATTCATATTCCCTCTCTATTCACTTTACAACTCACAACCCAGTGATTATAGCCCCATATTCATACAGCCGCAGTCACAACCTACTACCTCACACCTTCATCTCACAACCCACTTGTATAGTTCTCAACCACAACTTAAAATATTACTTCCAATGGAACAACCCAGCCCCCACAAAAAAGCCCCACAACCCAGCCCCTACAACCCAGCTCCCACAACCCAGCCCCTACAACCCAGCCCCCCACAACCCAGCCCCCCACAACCCAGCTCCCACAACCCAGCCCCCCACAACCCAGCTCCCACAACCCAGCCCCCACAACCCACCCCCCCTACAACCCAGCCCTCACAACCCAGCCCCGTACAACCCAGCCCCCACAACCCACCCCCCCCTACAACCCAGCTCCCTACAACCCAGCCCCCCCACAACCCAGCCCCCCACAACCCAGCCCCCTACAACCCAACCCCCTACAACCCAGCCCCCTACAACCCAGCCCCCACAACCCAGCCCCCTACAACCCAGCCCCCTACAACCCAGCCCCCACAACCCAGCCCCCTACAACCCAGCCCCCTACAACCCAGCCCCCACAACCCAGCCCCCACAACCCAGCCCCCTACAACCCAACCCCACAACCCAGCCTCCACAACCCAGCCCCACAACCCAACCCCCACAACCCAGCCCCACAACCCAGCCCCCTACAACCCAGCCCCCTACAACCCAGCCCCCACAACCAAGCCCCACAACCCAGCCCCCTACAACTCAGCCCCTACAACCCAGCCCCCACAACCCAGCCCCCTACAACTCAGCCCCCTACAACTCAGACCCCTATAACCCAGCCCCCACAACCCAGCCCCCTACAACCCAGCCCCTACAACCCAACCCCCCACAACCCAGTCCCCTACAACCCAGCCCTTACAACCCAGCCCCCACAACCCAGCCCCCACAACCCAACCCCCACAACCCAGCCCCCTACAACCCAGCCCCCTACAACTCAGCCCCCTACAACTCAGCCCCCTACAACCCAGCCCCCACAACCCAGCCCCCTACAACCCAGCCCCTACAACCCAGCCCCCTACAACTCAGCCCCCTACAACTCAGCCCCCTACAACCCAGCCCCCACAACCCAGCCCCCTACAACCCAGCCCCCCACAACCCAACCCCCACAACCCAGCCCCCTACAACCCAGCCCTTAGAACCCAGCCCCCCACAACCCAACCCCACAACCAAGCCCTCACAACCCTGCCCCACAACTTACCCCCCCCCACAACACAACACCCCTCACCCCCCCCCCGCCCCCCACACTTGTAAATGACTCTGAGTTTTCACTGGGAAAACAAATCATGATTTTTCACATTAAAAAGAAAATGTTTGCAATCTTGCCCTTCACCTTCTTCTTCCTTCTTCTTCTTCCCATCATCTTTATCACCATCTTCACCTCTCACATTCTGTGCTTCCTCTTACTCTCTCTTGCATTCACCATTATTTATCTCTCCTTTCTCACTATTCCTTATTTATAAGCCTTGCTTTTCTGCTTCTTCTCAATTATCTCATTCTCTTCTCGCCCTTTCTCATCCTCACTATTTCTTATCATACTCCTCACTATTTCTTATCATACTCCTCACTATTCCTATCATACTCCTCACTATCCCCATATATCATACCTCACACTTTCCATATCCTACCCCACACTATCCCTTATCATACTCAGTACTATCCTTATCATGTTCCAGGCTTTCACTATCATTCTCCAGACTATCCTCATCATACTCCACACTATCTCTATCATACTCCACACTATCTCTATCATACTCCACACTATCTCTATCATACTCCACACTATCTCTATCATACTCCACACTATCCTCATCATACTCCACACTATCTCTATCATACTCCACACTATCTCTATCATACTCCACACTATCCCTATCATACTCCACACTATCTCTATCATACTCCACACTATCCTCATCATACTCCACACTATCCCTATCATACTCCACACTATCTCTATCATACTCCACACTATCTTTATCATACTCCACACTATCCCCATCATACTCCACACTATCTCTATCATACTCCACACTATCTCTATCATACTCCACACTATCCTCATCATACTCCACACTATCCCTATCATACTCCACACTATCTCTATCATACTCCACACTATCTCTATCATACTCCACACTATCTCTATCATACTCCACACTATCCTCATCATACTCCACACTATCCCTATCATACTCCACACTATCTCTATCATACTCCACACTATCCTCATCATACTCCACACTATCTCTATCATACTTCACACTATCTCTATCATACTCCACACTATCCTCATCATACTCCACACTATCCCTATCATACTCCACACTATCTCTATCATACTCCACACTATCTCTATCATACTCCACACTATCTCTATCATACTCCACACTATCCTCATCATACTCCACACTATCCCTATCATACTCCACACTATCTCTATCATAATCCACACTATCCTCATCATACTCCACACTATCTCTATCATACTCCACACTATCCCTATCATACTCCACACTATCTCTATCATACTCCACACTATCCTCATCATACTCCACACTATCTCTATCATACTCCACACTATCCTCATCATACTCCACACTATCTCTATCATACTCCACACTATCCTCATCATACTCCTCACTATCCCTATCATACTCAGTACTATCCTTATCATGCTCCAGGCTTTCACCATCATACCCCACACTATCCTCATCATACCCCACACCATCCTGGTAAACCCTACCTCCTCCCCCGCCCCCCTGAGAGCTGGCCACATTTAGAACCCCGTAAACTCTTAGTTTACTTTAGTTCACTGTTTCTTTAGTTGTTAGCTCTCCCCCCCCCCTATCCCCTCTACCCCCCACCCCTGAGGATGACCACAACCACCAATAGAAGCCTTGGCTCCGACCCTTCACCTCTTTGATTGGTCGAGGACCGTGACGTATCCGTCTAAGCCCCGCCCACGGGCCGTCTTGATTGGTTGACAATGAGGAGGTGTTGCCAGACGGGCCGTCGTAGTCCGGATATTTACAGCGTAACATTCTACCGATCTGGGGCCAGATTCACGAAAGCACTTACGAACGTGTACATCTTTCCTCAATCTTTGACGGCTTTAGTTACATTTATTAAACAGTTTACAAGCGTGAAAACTTGCCAATCAACTGTTGTTATTGTTATAAACAGCCTCCTGGTGCTTCCGAGCTCATTAACTGTTAAATAATTGTAAACAAAGCCGCCAAAAATTGAGAAAAGATGTACAGGTTCGTAAGTGCTTGCGTAAGTGCTTTTATGAATCCGACCCCTGGGCTCATGCTCTCCACGCAAACTAGGATTTTCTTGCAAATTGCAATTCAAACTATATAGCACCGAAGGGGTTGTTGCAACGATTGAAATCGTGGTTTTTTTAAAGACGATTGACAACCTGATCAGCGCTGTAATTAGTCATTATATATGTTTCTAACTGAGCCACGTGGCTTTGTTTTAATAAATTGCTAAAATAATGGATTTTCAGACGGCCTCGTAGGAGGAAATGCGATCAATAGTGAAACTAATTTTTTCTTGTCATGTATTGGTTAATAAGATGTAGGGGGGATTGGTAGTTGGTTGTGACAAAGTAGGGGGCTGTGCTCCCCCTTGTGGGGTGTGTGTGTGGGGGGAGGCTGTTCCCCCCCCCCCACCCCCCACACACACACACACGCCAGCTCCAACAGCGTCATTGTACCAACAAAAATTTCAGGCTGAAGGCAGGACTGGAATCGATACATCAGTGGAGTGACTCAGGCGGCTGAAGTCAACACCCGGGATAGTTCCAGCGGCGGATGTCTGCAATACAGCAGTTAGCAACACATTCATAACTCTACAGCATCCTGTAACCCCTGGGATCAACACAGCCTCATCACCATCATCAACACATCTAGAATGATTCATCAGAAGCAACAGAAAACTGGAATGATTCATCAGAAGCAACAGAAAACTGGAATGATTAATTCTTGCAAAACTGTTCCTTCAAGAAGTGAAGCAACACATGGAAACATTTCCACTATTGTCTAGATGTACAGAGGTGCTGGAATAGTGCAGGTGCCTGGAACACACCAGGGGCAACACACCAGGGGGGCAACACACCAGGGACAACACACCAGGGACAACACACCAGGGGGCAACACACCAGGGACAACACAGCAGGGGCAACACACCAGGGGCAACACACCAGAGGCAACACACCAGGGGGCAACACACCAGGGGGCAACACACCAGGGGACAACACACCAGGGGCAACACACCAGGGAGTAACACACCAGGGGGCAACACACCAGGGGACAACACACCAGGGGCAACACACCAGAGGCAACACACCAGGGGCAACACACCAGGGGGAAACACACCAGGGGACAACACACCAGGGGGGCAACACACCAGGGGACAACACACCAGGGGGGCAACACACCAGGGGGACAACACACCAGGAACAACACACCAGGGGGCAACACACCAGGGGACAACACACCAGGAACAACACACCAGGGGGCAACAAACCAGGGGGCAACACACCAGGAACAACACACCAGGGACAACACACCAGGGGGGCAACACACCAGGGGACAACACACCAGGGGGGCAACACGCCAGGGGGCAACACACCAGAGGACAACACACCAGGGGGGCAACACACCAGGGGACAACACACCAGGGGCAACACACCAGGGACAACACACTAGGGGACAACACACCAGGGGAGCAACACACCAGGGGACAACACAC